CTTGGTGCGATTTTAACCTGTATTAACCTCTAAAATACAAAATGCTACTGAAAGACCAGCTATTAAATTTTTTAAGTAATGACTTTTTTTACTTAAATTCAACTTTCTGCTGTATTGTGCTATGTAGCACTCTAGTCATTTTTCAAACTGGCTCAGCATCTCCTACATCTAGTCCTGTCATGAACTGAAACAGTTTCTTTGAATATTTTCATCTGGTAGTTAAACGTCTGTGAAGAGAAACAAATTTTGTTTCTTACTTACATGAGAGACAAATTTTGTTCTTATTGTCATCATGGACTTAATTTCAGCTAACCAGAGGACAGGTGCAATTTTTTCAACATTTGCCAACCTCAATCACAGAGACTGAAACAAAAACAAATTTCAAAATCATTACAGTATTCAAAATTCACAAAACTAATATAAAAGAAGCATAAGTAATTAAACTTTCAGATGTACTAGACTTCTGAGACACCCTGTCTGTCTGAAATATCAACAAGAGTGAGGAAAACATCACTTTGTTTTATTCTTGACCTTTTGCCCCAAATTTTGTGCCTTCCCAATTCTCCCTGATATGACCAAGGCCTTCTCTCACCTACTCTTCAGCCCCAGCTTTTCCCTAAACCAGCCGCCTCCGCCCCTCTGCTGGCACCGGGCTGCTACAGGGCAGCCCTTTATCTCTGCAGGTGGGTGTGCACTGCACCGTGAGGGCGCTGCTGCCGTTGCCTGGAAACAGATGCTTGCATTGCCAGCAATTCCTGGTTGAGCTCTGTGCTCCACCTACAGCTGTGCTCCCCCTTCTCCAGGTGAGCCAGCTAGGATTTTGAATTCTGATCCCATGGTTGGAAACACAAATTAGGATCAGTTTCCCAGATCAAATGAGGAAAAGGCCAGATGACTGAGGCATTTGTTTTGGTTTTGCTTTTTTGAAAGGTGTGTTGTGCTCCTACCTAATAAATGTAAAACTGGATAAAGCTTGACTTTGCATTTCTTTTAAGAAACACTACATCACTATATAAGGACATTGCTTTTATATTTCAGAGTGTTAAGTACTGTATTGCGGAACATGCTATAGGCCATATAATACAGATCAGTTCTATTAGATCTGTTCATCTCACCAAATAAAATTCAACATATGAAAAGTTATCTTTTACCCTAATTCCTAAATCTTAACCAGTGGAAACATTTTGCTGTATTTTAGAGTAAATATCAGGGTGCCTTAAAAATGTGACTTCTGAGTTCTAATTTAATTCTCCCTTTATAAGTTTTAATGGGATTTGTTTCATCCCCTTCTCACAATTTATAGAAATCTTGGTATTTAAAAAACTGACAAACCCTTATAAATATACCACTATGCTGTGCCATTTTTGTATACCTTTTCTCACCTCTGACTGCCCCATTAGTCACACTACAGGCCAGGATGATATTGTCATGTGTGAATATTTGTGTTTACACAGGTGCGAGGCCTGACAGCAATGCTAGTCTCCTATCACAAAATTAGAACCTTTGACCTATCTCAGAATGTACAGCATTGTATGTTTGCTTCTGCCTATGCCAAAAAGAGTGATTTAATGCTTTATTTTTTTAAAGAGTATTCCTGTTTTCAATGTGGAACATAACTGCACAAGTATTTTATGTATTTAAAATTTGGCCATGAAATTCTTTAACTAAGAAGCTACATTGCAAGTGGGAATTATTTTTGGTATTCATGAGTTCGTTCATCTATTCAGCAAAGATTCACGGGGCACCTGCCCCTGGTCAGGCACTGAACTAGGCACAGGCAGGGCAGGTGCAAAGGACAGACTCAGCATGGAGTCTGCAGTCTAGTGGAGTTTTGAAAGAGCAGTAAACAAAACAGTTCTAATGCAGGGTGCCAGTGAGATAATGGAACCTGGAGAAGGGGCTCCTAACCCCGATTGTGGAGGCAGTGGTGAGGTTAGAAGAATAACTGGGAGTTGGCCAACTGAAGCAGATTTTCCAGAGAAAGGAGCAGCACCAGCACTTGTAGCCAAGGGATGAACTAAGGTGCTCAGGAAGTGCAGGGTGTCAGAACAGATGGGGGAACGCTGTGAGGGGAGAGAAGTGAGAGGTGAAGCCCCAGAGTTTACATTGACCCAGGCTTGTAGGTCCATGGCCAGCATCTTGTAGGCAGTGGTGAGTGACATGGTCAGATTTGTATTGTCACTGTGGCAACATTGTGCAGGGTGCACTGGAGTAAGTGAGCAGGAGGCCACTGCCGAAACCCAAGTTAGATTAGTGGTCTAGGACTATGGCAATGGCTAATAGGGTGGAAAGAACAGGACAGATATTCAGGACACAGATCAACAAGATCCTGTTTGGGTTGGCAAGCAGGAGTCAGGAATGAATGTTCTGGTTGGACAATCGGGCCCTTATTCCCAGAAAGAAACAAGCTGGAGATGTGGGGTGGGCATTGGAGATTAGCTGAAGCTTTGGCAAGGAGAGCTGGAGATCCCTGTGAGGTACAGAGGTAGTGGTCTACTGGGAGACAGCAGTGGACTCGAGAGTGAGCTGGGCTGAAGATCTGATATGAATGTAGCCAGAGCTGTGTATACAGGGTATGCAGGGTACATCAGCCCCACCAGGAGTGTGCTTAAGGGGAAAAAGGCTCTTCAGGATCCAAGACACCTCCACCCAGTGGAGGAGTGGAGATGCACCAGCCAGAAGGCAGGCAGGAAATCAAAAAGATCACCTGGTGGAAGCCAAAGGACAAGAGCACCTCAAGGAGAGTCAGAGCCAGCTCCATAGAGAGGTCAAAGAAGGCAAAGACCGAAGTTCAGCCATGGGGAGACACTGATGACACTGGTGAGAATATTCTCAGTGCGGGGAGGTGGGCTGGCAGAGGCTGAGGTGTGAACAAGGAGGTAAGGAAGGGCAAGTGGAGTCGCATCCCCTTTTAAACTCTTGGCCGTCGTGGGCAGGAGGAAAGTTGGTGGAACTAACCAGGGACTTGACACTGAAGGAGGGCCTGTTTGTTTTAATTGGACAGAGTTGAATGTGTACACTTCAAGGAAACAAGCCAATAGCAAAGAGGTTGAAGAAAGAGGGGAGATCAGAGGAGAGGGGCCACTTTGACAGGGTGAAGATCGCCATGACCCTGGGCTCAGGGGCAACATGGTGGAAGTCCCCACTAGGTGAGGGTTTGTTTGCTCTCTGTGCAGGAAAAGGCCAAGCCATGTAGAAAGTGAGGGAAATGTGGGCTTGGAGACAAGTGGGGCACTTGAAGTCAGAGCTTAGGAAAGGCATGTAAAAGAATGCTTGTGCAGTGCTGCGGGCTCCCAGAGCGCAGAAAGCATCAACTTGTGTGACAACAACTCACAGGGAAGTGATCTCCACACTGCAGTGCTGGCCCAGAACATCTGCCCAGTCACCTCTTTTGCCCTCCTTCCCTCCAGTACAGCAACGCAAAAGCAAAGAGGCTGGTTGCCGTCTGGGCTGGCTGTAGTAGCAATGGAGGGACCTATCTCCCACTCAAGTCACAATACCTGAGGACACATGCTTGTCTCCTGCCCTCATGTGTTCCTGGCTGCAATGCCAAGTTCAAGGCCAGAGTGTCCTGGATAAAAGGAGCACAGCTGTTCAGAGAACTGCAAAGGAAAACGGGGGCTGGAGGTAAAGACAAGAGGCTAAGGGAGGCGGCTGCGTGGGTGTGCTGGAATAATCTAGAAAATGAAGGGAACAAAGGCGGTGTGACTGGTGAGCTGCTTACAGAGCCTCCTCCCTGATAGAATATGTATGATCCTGCGTGAGGCCTCCCCTGCCTGCGAGCAGGGAGGCATCACAAGGATCGGCAGGGAGCGCTCGCCCAGACCCACTCTCCTGGGCCTGGGGTGTGAGAGTCGCCCGGCAGTGGTCCTGACCCCAAGTGGGTGAGCTTCTCACTGGCCGGGACCTAAAGGTCAGCTCCCGACCTCTGCAGCACTGTTAATGCTAGCGCCACGCCGTCACCCAGGAACCAGCGTACGGCCGCTCCCCTATCTCCAGCCAGCCAGCTCCCCCTTCCCTGCAGCTCGGAAGCCCGAGAGCGGAATTCAGACCCAGAGGGAGCACGAGTCTCGCGCCGGAGGCAGAGAGGGGCGGGGCAGGCTTGCCGGTAGGTGCCCACAGGCGCCCTGTGGGAACTCTGCAGCGCACTCCGTTCCTCCCTGCCCCCACCCCCGCCCCGCTCTCGGCCACCACCCCTCGGGGTGCACCACTGGGCAGAGCACACTGCCACCTCCGGGTCCCCTCTGGGCGCTTCGCCGCTGGGCAGCCGGAGGCGGGACTGAGCCGCGCTGAGCTCCGCGGGGCAACGCTGGGCGAGTGCAGGGCGCAGCGCCACCCGACTGGCTCCAGCAGAGCCTGGTGCTCTCTACCCCTTTCTCCATTCATTGTATGCCATTTATCCAGCAGATAATTCTGGAGAGCTCTTTAAAAAGCATTTGATTCTGTGCGTCTTCTTTGCATCCTTCTTAGTTAGGAGTTTGCGGTGGTCAGGGGGAGGGAGAAAAACGCCTTTTCTGATCGGAAAACACCGAGAGACCAGACCATCTCTTTCAGCAGCAGGAAGCCGTCGCAGGATCCACACATATCTACAACTCTCTATTGCTTTCTGTGCAAATTCCTAACTGTGCCTGACGTCCAACCAAGCAGACAGGCATGGGCTGTTTGGGCAACAGCAAGACAACAGAAGACCAGGGCGTCGATGAAAAAGAAAGACGCGAGGCCAACAAAAAGATCGAGAAGCAGTTGCAGAAGGAGCGCCTGGCTTATAAAGCGACTCACCGCCTGCTGCTACTGGGTAAGGAGGGAGGGCACCCGCAGCGGCTCCTGGCCGGAGCAGAGCGCACAGCCAGCGACGCGGGTCAGCTCCTCCAGCCCGGAGCTGGCGTGCACTTCAGAATGCCTTCGTTGGGGTAGGATAACTGCCCAAGGTGGGTTGTTGGCGTGAAAGATGGCAAAGGCATCGGGCTACAAATCACAGCATTCTTTTTGTTTGTTTGCAGGGGCTGGTGAGTCTGGGAAAAGCACTATCGTCAAACAAATGAGGATCCTGCACGTCAATGGATTTAATCCCGAGTAAGGAATGGTCAATTTCGATTTTGCTTCTAAACTGCGTGCAAACTTTGTAACTTCTTTCCCAACCTTCCCAAAAGTGCTTTCTCTAGGTAGTTAATTTAAACGTTGGATACACCTTTAAGGGAGAAAAATATAGGAGTGTATTGTTGAATTTGGTATATTGGGTTGACCAAAAAGTTCATTTGGTTTTTTACCAGAAGATGGCTCTAAAGCCATCTTAGTTGACTTTAACTTAATTCGAAACAATTTTTAGATACTATTATGATAGCTGTCATCCAAGCATGCATTTTTTAAAAATATCAAATTGGTGAATTTTTGTGTAGCCATTTTAATATTGAAGATGTAAGAAAATTGGCAACATTTTGGCATATCATTTTTTATTATTTCAAGAAAAGTAAAAACACAACTGAGAAGCAAAAAAAGATGTGTACAGTGTATGGAGAAGGTGCTGTGACTGATTGAACGTGTCAAAAGTGGTTGTGATTTCTCACTGGATGATGCTCTACAGTTGGGTAGACCAGTTGAGGTTGACAGCAATCAAACCGATATGTGAAAACAACTATTGGTTATACCACCTGGGGGATAGCCAACATACTCAAAATATCCAAATCAACAAAGTTCTTGGTGAAAATGAAAAAAAAGTGTCTTTTATTTTATGGAAAAAAATATGAACTTTTTAGCCAACCTAATACATAGGTAAATCCTTTTTCCGACAGTGTCTAGATCAAAAAAAGTAACTTGCATTACAAAATATGATTTATTAGGCTTTCTTGAGGTATTGATCTGTATTTTTGGTATTGCTCTGAATGCAACCAATATGTCAATATAATGATTTCTCTATATCATTTGCTTGCATCTATTTTAATTAATATCTGTCAACATGTGGATATATTCAAATTAAATATATTTACATGTATAGCTGTATAGATTTTATATGCAATATTCATGACAAATTTGCCATGTTTTGTGTAACTTGTGTGGCTGTTAAAAGCTATAGATTGTAATGTGTGCATTCAAATTTGTTTAGAATACAGATTAGAAGAGGGGCATGTTGCCCTTTCCCAGATAAAAATTGTTTTCCTTGGGGTTGATGTTGACCTCTAGGAAAGCCAGTTTAGCCAGGTGCTGCAGCTGGGAATTTAAACTCCCACTCAATTCATTCAAATCAGTGCTGACAATAAATTAATAACAGTTTTCTTTTAATACAGGGAAAAAAAGCAAAAAATTCTGGACATTCGGAAAAATGTTAAAGATGCTATTGTGGTAAGAACTTTTATTTAAATGCTTGTTTATTAAAAATGTTAAGTACTCTTCTCTCTAAAACTATATAGACAGAAATATATTAGATTATTATACATGGAGCCTTAGTGTTATATTTAACCACATATGTATTTTTATTTATTCCATTTTAGACAATCGTTTCGGCAATGAGTACTATAATACCTCCAGTTCCACTGGCCAACCCAGAAAACCAATTTCGATCAGACTATATCAAGAGTATAGCCCCTATCACTGACTTTGAGTATTCCCAGGTATGTAAACCCTTACTGAAATATTTTAGGCGGTGTAAAATGGAACCATTTTTAATGAGGTGATTTACTGAGAATCAATGTTAATATTAATTCATTATTAACTGTCTTCAAAATTTAACTCTGCTTAAATGCTTTCCTCTATCAAAATATTAACAATAGGATTTTTTAAAATGCTTTTGTGAATATATTGGTGAGACTGATATTCAGGAAGACGACATACCTTTAAGAGATATCTCTAGTACTTTTTCTTATATGTATTTCTAAATTAACAATTAAGTAGTTTCCAAGATAAAAATGATTAGAAATTCCATGAGTAGAGAGAAGTAGTCTCTGATATGTGATTGCCTCTGAAGGAAAAATAGGAAGAACAGCATTCAGTTTACTTTTAAGGTATGTGTCCTTCAGATCAAACAAGGAGAGAATGCATGCTGTAACATTTACTATATGGTAGGAACATGTAGTTCGTTTTACATCTGCAGGATTTAGGCTTGCTCTCCTAATCACTTGGATGACAGTATTGCTTATGCAATAGGATATGGATATTAATTTCCTCTTATTTGGTAATAAACATTTCTTTTAAATATTGTTATTTGGCAATTAGATTAAGCATGTTTCAAAGCAAAATATATTTGTTAAATTTCTCAGAAAATCATTTTTATTAGAGTTGTGCCCAAAAAGCATATAGGTGTGCTGTGTATGTATACCCATTAATAACAGTATTTCAAAGTTTTCACTGCCTGGCATGGTGGTCTTGAGACATTTTTCATTCTCAGAATCCTCTCTTCCAAGGGAAACAGATGCAGAACCCAGTGTGTACAACAGATAGGTTCTGCCCTGTTCTTACTAAAGTTTGGGCCAGTGTGTGCCTGCTCAGCCCTACCCCTTCTCTTCAGCAGAGCGTGGTTGTCTTACAGGCTTTGTATTGAGATGGCAGATAAGTACTTTTTTTCCCCAAGCTTTTATATCCTGTCATGGGATTATTGCTTCTGATAAGCATTGCAATGTAACCAGTGATATTTCTATGATTTCTAAGAAGGAGTTAAGAGTAGCAAAATGACTAGAAAAAGGAATAAGACATCTGGGACAGCAGAGCCCACTGTTTTTTACTAAACTGTGTCTTTCATTGATTGGATGGCTTGGACCGGGTTGGACAGGATAATGTGAGGGGAAGCAGTATCACCAAAGCTGTGCTTCAACCAACTAGAGCTTTAGGATGCTGTCCCAGCACTCGTGTGATAGTTTGCTATTGCAGCAGTCACCCAAAGCTACAAAAAGCAATCATAAAACATCTTATATATGGTTCTGATGTAGAAAAAAGTTATTCTTAGCATATAATGAGAAATTAGAATTAAGATGTATTAATCAGTCACATATTTTTTTCTTGTTCGTGACAAACTCACACATGATAAAGAGGTTCCCTATTTAACCTGAAATTCAGAAACAGTCAGTAACTCTCAAGTAGGTTACTAAGGAATCCAAGCACCTAATTTGTGAAGGTGTTTTTTGAGCTACATGTGAATATTTTTAATTACTAAACTCAATAAACCATTTCCTTTGCACACATATATTTTCATAGAGATACATTAAGGCTACTTAAAAATGGTTATCAGAATCATAATTAATTATCAATGAAAGAGAATTGGGAACAGCTGAAAATGTAATTATAATACTCTTTCAGAGGTAATACTTTTTTTGGTAGTTTTGAAGCCTAACACTTGTCACCTGTGTCTGTCCATGCCAAATGACACTGTTTGTAAAAGAGCCTACGCTTTTGTAAATGAGGAAATCAATATCGAAATATATAACTTTGCCTCTGAAAATGCTATTTTTATTTGAATATGCACACATTTTTAGTAACATTTATTCCATAGTGCTCTGAAATATTCATTTAACTTATATTATTAGATTAAGTAGTTTTTGGATGGACATTTTGATAATCCTAAAACAAATCTTTGAATTATATACTCATAGTAGTTGGTATAGTTGGAGAAAATTAACTTTTACTTAAAGAAATTGTATATTGTAAAAATCATAAATGTAGAGCTAAAGCAAGTATTTTTTATAGTAAATTAACACTAATTTACTAAATCTAGTACTTGTTTGAGGTTAAACTGTTGAGTCTTTCAGCGTCACACTCAATTCCTTAAGGGCTTTTAAGTTTATTTTTCTGTGGATATAATTTTTGAACCAAATATACCCTATTTTAAAAAATAATTCAGAGTTCTTTAGTTAAAGAAAAAACTTAAAAGACTATGAATTTAAAATTGCACATGAATAAAATATTTAAATAAAAATAAAATTGCACATGAGATTGTTCATTTTAATGGAAATTTTAAACTTATCTAAAGGTGTCCCAAGAATCTCCTCTGAGAATTTCACGCTTGCGATTCTCTTTGTTCTTTTGATCCTCCTATTGCTTTCCATTTGAATTTCAGTTGAATTATATGAAACTTTAGATGTAACAGAAAGAAGGCCAGTATAGATAGTGTCTACCCAGCTACAGGTTGCTGTGGGAGGCTAGAGAAAACATTAGGAGCCAGATCAGGTGGCCTCCATAGGCCAGGTCTGTGCTAATCTGGAAGCCTTTAGAGAGTCCTGAGCAGGAAGATTACACAATCTGATTGTGTTTTATCGAGATCGTTCTGGCTGTGAGTGGAGAGTGGACTGTAGAGAGGCAAGAGATGAAGTGTAACTATCTTGAAGCCTATTATGGCAATCCAAATGAAAGGTAATGAAGCAGTGGTATGGGGTGGTATCATGAATTAATTAATTGCCTCTTTACAGCTTTTTTCTCATGTACACATCCACATTGTCTTGGCTCTGGACTGGGCTCTACCCAGAACACCCTTCACTAATTGGCACCATGTCTTTTCACCCAGCTCATCTGCACATGAAAATAGTCTTAGGTGATGACTGTTTTCAGTCATCACTTGACCATTTATAAAAGATCACTTGATCATTTATAAAACAGGAAAAATTGCAGTTACCCACCCCCTGCCACCTCCCAAAAAGCTCTTAGCACGATACCAAAAAAAGTCATAGATGAATTAAAGTAAATTATGAATTTGTTTGATTTTTTTTCTTCTTAAAATGTGATCTTTTATTAGCTCCTTTTCAATTCTTTTGCTAGATTTTTTTAAGGAGAAGAGTATAAATGAGGCTTAATCACAAGTGTGAATATAGTCTGATCCATTGGTCAATGCTCTCTGTCTTACCACCCGATGTTTCCTAAGGTGACTTTATCAGAATTGCATGTCAGCATAAACCCAGAGGGCAGAAACATTCTCTCCTGTCCTCCCAGGTGAGAGAACACCAAGTACTCGGTGGGAGTGCAGGCCAGATCACTGCAGTGGACCAGGAGTAAGGCCCTGGGAGACGGCTCCCCACTGTGAGCCTGGGCTCCAGTGCTCTCTAAAGATATGCCACTCAGTGGAGAACAGGGGGAGCAAGGCTTCTTGGAGCCGTTCGTGGGAGGGTGAGCACACCCATGGAAGGGCTGAGAGCCTTGCCTGCGCCAAGTAGGTCTAGCTGCCCCTGCCTGTGTGCTTCTTCTGTCCCTTCTGGGGAGTGTGTGCAGAATTCTCGAACTTATATCATCAAGGTTAGTGGCCTTTCTGGTGATTTTTTTAACCAGCTGAAACGTCTTCCCCCCATCCCCAACCAAAAAGACTCTGAAGCCTGCAGTGTAAATCAGGTAGGAGCCAGTTCTCCCTCAGGAGCCCAAACTGCAGCCCTGACATGAGTCCCCACATCTGCCCTCAGACCTCATGGGAGCCCTCGGGCCCCACCCAGCACTGTCAGAAAATGACAGCTGCCCTCCCTCTACTGCCTGCCCTCCTCTCTCCCACTCACATGGCAGAGCTGGGTGCTCTGAAAGCCGTCCCCAAGTGCCTGCCAAGTGAGAGTACAACAGAATCCTTCATCCACTTCAGTAAGGAGCTATGGGTGTGACAGGTCAGGGGACCTGCTCTCTGGGTTGTCACAGAGTTAAAGAAAGGAAGAGTTCCATCCCCACAGCAACACAATAACCAACACTTTCATTCAAAATGGCCTTTCAGTCCATCTCCCAAGCAGCCTCTTGTTCTTTGCCTTTTGAGGTTGTGAGGTTTAATGTGTTTTAGAGAACAGTAACATTAGCAGGTATAAAAAGTGGGAACTGCTACTGTATCTTCCACAGTAATATAAAACCCAAAGATTTTTATGCATGGCATCGAAAACGAGAATGTCATCTTATATAATTTCAGGTGCAATTAACCAACCCAGTTATATAGAGGCACCTTGGAGCCGTGCTCTGGGTGCATTCGGCTCAGATCTCAGCTGCTCCTGGCTGGGTCCCCAACCACCCAATGGGGGCACTAGCTGCCATGAACCGGGGCCTGAGAAGAGAACAGCCTCTCCAGGCTCATGGCTGCCTCTGGGCATTCAGGGCAAGAAGTGGGCTGGGTTGTCCAGAGACACTTGCCAGTGACTGGACAGTGTCTCTGTCTTAAAGGAAGGTGCCAGAGCCAGACATTCGAGGCTCAAATTCCAGCCCTGCCACTGTGTGACCTTGACCACTGTGCTGCCTGCCTTTTCTCAAGTGTGAAATGGAGACGATCACAGTATCTACTTTGTGTTGTTGTTATGAGGATTGAATATGTTAATACCTGAAACAGTGATCACTATTACTGCTCCATAGAAGAAAGCAGGAACTCTGACACCCCTGCATCTCTCTGAGACCCCCATGGCTTACAAGGAACACCCGGCTACCCACTCACTGTCCATCCCTCTTAGGGCCCAGTGGGGAGCCAATTGTACCCTCCAGTTATTCCCTGACCCCAGCCAACCCCAAACTGCAGCCCTGCCTCAAACTGGCATCTATAGGCCATCTCTTCTGTCCATGCCAAGAGGGGATGTCCCCATACCTTACCATATGCCTAGAGGAAGGTGTCTCAATTATCCCCAAAAGGACATCAAGCTGTTGACTGGCCCCAGCTGTTTAGATATTTCTGCCTTTGTGC